TCTGATCTTGGATTAGACTCCGCCACTGCACTTTGGATGAGATGTTTAGCTTTATTCCATAGCATGTCTGGTGTAGCTGCATTGTGGTTTGCATCTGTCCATTCCATCCATTTCCGCTCAAAGGCTGCATTGAGCTTCTCGCTATCAGTTACTTCAATCCGTCTTATTTTCTTGGAGGAGGCTTTGAGTTTCAACCGTATCTTTGCGATAACGAGTTCATGGTCGGACCACAATCAACTCCAGGAAGCGTGTGAGCGTTGAGAATGGAGGTGCGCCAGCGCGATCCAATCAGTATGTAGTCGATCTAGTTTTTGGCCTTACCTCCAGGTGAGGTCCAGGTGAACAGTCTACGTGGATGGTGTTGGAATAGACTTTTTGCCACCACCAAGCTGTTTTCGTCTGCGAACTGCATAAATCTATCACCTCTTCCATTGCGTACTCCAAGTCCGAAGTTTCCCACACATTTACTATACTGGGCAGAGTTTGCACCAATTTTCGAATTAAAATCACCGATGATTATAAGCAGCTCTCTGCTGGGGATTTTGGCAATCGTTGTTTGTAGTTCTTTGTAAAAACTCTCCAGGACGGTGGGTAAAGCTTCACTGGTGGGAGCATATACCTGTATCAGGTTCAAATTTACAGGTGACGCTTTAAGCTTCATTTAGATAAACTATTTTATTACGAAACAAATTTGTAATTATGAGGATTACCAATGTTATGATTATGACTAAATACTAGATTGTAGTTATTAAGAAGCTTGGTATCAGCCGTATGTTCATATATCGTACTATCAACTGATACAACCATACTTCGTCTGTCGAAGACCAGAAAAGATCGGGACGGCCGCGTGCTTTAAAACTACAAAGGCTGTTAATTCTGTTAAAGCTAGTATTCGTCGGAACCCCATTAGGAAGCAAAAAATCTTATCACGATAAATGAAGATTCCCGCTAGGACTCTGTCGAGTATTATAAAACAAGACCCTGAAGCTCGGTGCTTATCTTCGATATACAGGACACGCCCTAAATCAATCTTTACTATTAAAGAGAGTGGAAAGCACAGAAATATTCTCTTTACCGATGAAAAAATTTCACGATTGAAGAACACTACAATAAGCAAAATGATCACAGTTCTAAAGAAACTGCTGAAGTGGTCGGAAAGGTACATTGGATAATGTGTAATATTCCCCCCAGTAAATTCTGTCACATGTTTAATATAAAATAATTGAAACAAGTTTATTCATTATGTAACCATTTATATACCAAAATGAACTTAACAAAACATAGATTCTTATGACAATAAAGCACAACTGCATTCGTTTTTACACCTTTCTCACAAAAATGTACCTCTGTTAAGCGCCAATAAGAAACTCCCAACCATACCATGAGCGAGGATGGAAAATGACCTCGTTGGACACGCGGAATACGTGCTCGCTTCTTCACTACTGTGTGCGTACACTTTATCATTTTGTTTGTTGTAGCTCTCTTCTACAGTAAAAACTTTTTCATCCGAAAAAAGAATTTCCTGATATTTTTTTCCCGCGTACCGCTTCAACAAAGACTTCTTGACCTGTCATCTACACTAGAGTCTTCATTGTATCGTTTGATGGTACGATAAACGAATCTTTTGGTTATATTAAAATTTTTCAGTATGTCAAAAATTTGAATTGGCGCGTAACCGCAACGATGCAACGCAATAACTGCAACACGGTCTTCTTTAAGCGTCCACTCCATATTTAAAAATGAGTAAAATTCTAAAAAGTATACATTTTTATTTTCATGAACAATTCGAAATTCGAATTCAATAAACTTTTTTGTGGCCAGCATTCTAAACGAAAAGTTTTTACTGTGTGACAATACTTATGACCTGACTGTGTACTTTTAAAAAATATACCGTGGACTTTCCAGCAGGATTCTGCACCTATAAGGCACGAAGTACCGAAGCCTACAAGGCACGAACTACCGAAGCCTGGCTAGAAACCAACGCTCGGGGCTTTATAAGAGCTAAAGATTAGCCCTCATCTAGCCCAGACCTCAACCCTTTAGCTGTAAACGAAACAGCGACATTGAGTCTCTTAAAAATCTTTGGAGCAAGCAGTGGCGACACTTCCTCTGGAAACAGTGCGTAAATCCATAGATTCATGGCCAAACAGATTAAAGGCCTGTATAAAAGCCAAAGGTGGCCATTTTGAATAGAATATTTTTTTGTTTTTTGCTGAGACTAATAAATAATAATGTGGGTATAATTTTTTATAATATTACATTATTTCATTAAAAAAAAACATTTTCATTAGTAACAGAACTTATGACTGGACTAGGTATATCTATATTCTAAACTAGTGGCCCGCCCTCGCTTCGCTTCGGTGTAGAGCTGTAGTGTAAACTATAGTTTTTGTTCTTAGGCTTGTGCTCTAAAGAATGACTTTATTTATATAATTACACGTGTTATTGTGAGTCAACCATAAAAGATAGACATATGCTGTTGCGGGATATTTTTTAGACAATTTTATGTAGAATATTTCCGTCATACATGATTTTTATATAACTTTAACCATTAAGGCTGCACACGCAACGGAAGCTAAAAAAATGGAGTAACTTCTCCCGTTTTCCCAACATTTCCCTTCACTACTCTGCTCCTATTTACTGTAGCGTGATGAAAAGTATACTATAACCTGCCCAGGAGTATGAAGAATAATTGTACCAAGTTTCGTTAAAATCTGTCGAGTAGTTTTTGTTTCTATAAGGAACATACACACAGACAGACAGACAGACAAAAAATTTACTGATTGCATTTTTGGCATCAGTATCGATCACTAATCATCCCCTGATAGTTATTTTGAAAATATATTTCATGTACAGAATTGACCTCTCTACAGATTTATTATAAGTATAGATTATGTAATGGAAGGTGACTTCAGTATTATCTCTGAAGTAATTTTTCAACTTGACGGCTCTGTATATAATAATACAGGGAGAAAAAAACAGCCCTTGCTGAGTTTCTTGCCGGTTCTTCTCAGTAGAACCGATGGGGTAGCTTCTCGATTTTCACAAGTGCTTGTAATACCTAGACTGAATAAATGATTTTTGCTTTTGATTATTAATTATGAGCTGTTACCGTCAGGCAGGACCATCGATTCTGAACACTACTGCGAACAACTGATGAGATTAAAGCAAGAAGTTCAGAGAAAGCGGTCGGAATTAATCAGCAGAAGTGTTGTGGTTTTTCATCGTGATAAAAAGTAGACCTCACACATCTTTAGCCAGTCACCAAAAATTAAGAGAGACTGGGAGGTGTTAATGCATCCGCCGTATAGTCCTGACCTTGCACCTTCAGACTTCCACCTGTTTCAGTCTCTATAGAATTCTTTAGGCAGCGTGTTTAGCGGCTTTAGTTAAATTGAGGTAAACTTTATTAAAAAATGTTTTAAATTTTCATATTAAATGCGAAGAAACTTTTTCCCTAACCCAATATTATCAACATCAGCCTATTAATGTCCCCATTGCTGGGGCACAGGCCTTCCCTATGGATGGAATAGGGAGATTGGGCCATGACCGAACACGCGGGCCCAGTGCGGAATAGCGAGTGCTAACGACAGCAGATGCAGCCGGGACCAACGGCTTACCGTGCCTTCCGAAGCACGGAGGAACTCGAGATAGAAGATTTTTGGTCACCCATCCAATGACCGACCACTGCGAAAGTTGCTTAACTTCAACGATCGCAGCCGAAAGCGCTAACCGCCTGCGTCATCGAGCTCCTCCTAATATTACTACGCAACCCAATATTATAAAAATTTCAAAGTTCAAAAACATTATAAACTTTGAAGGACTTTATCTCGGAAACACAATTCTTCTCACAGACAATTCAATTCTTTTAGCTGTTAAGTATTCGATTTTAGACAAAGTTGCGTTCGACACTTGAGGTACTAACTTGTATTTATTCATTGGACTAGCATTATAAACCAAACAAGTCTGCAAAAATCGGATATACCTGATATATTTGAAGCACTTGTCGGAGACAATTATACTGGACTAGGTACCAAGCGGGGGAGCGGGTGTGAAAGCCTCGTGATAAGTACCCTGCAGCCGGCTGCAAAGTTATTGGAGACTTACTGACTAAAACACTCCCGTGGCGGACGCCTCTGGCCATAAAGGGCCACTCGGGCTTCATCTGATGCGATCTTCCCCTGAGAAGGGTATTATGCAGTATTGTTAGATCTAGAAAACAGTGATTTAGCATGGATGCAATAGTTACGCCGACAAAAGTGCTAATAGGTATCTTTAGAAGCAAATTTTATACTTTTCACTGTCTATTTGTACGCCATAGGTAGGTATTCCTTTCGAGGTTGGTAAAGGACCAATAAGTGATGATATCTTTTATTTTTATGTTCGGCAGTGGGCGTCGTCGTAAGGCTTGAATGACGAGATGTTGATGGTGATTAAAATAGCCATACCATGATAAGAGTATTTTTGACAAGACAAAAAGTGACAATGTGCTGGCTGCAATAACCTTCTAGGCTGGATCAATTTCGCCATTCGCCGTTACTTGTGTTGTAGTACCTACGGTAGGCAGCAGCGGAACATTGGTTTGCCTATTTATTGAAATCCAGTAAAGTATGACCATATTTTTATATCCTTGTATTATGTAAGTATATTTTACTTGGATTATTGTATTATGTATATTTGGATTAGCTATGTGTAGAAAATATCAACCGTAACTGTATAATTTTTAGGGTTTTTCAGGGTGCCACATCTTGGGTCATTCTAATTAAATGTGTAAGTTATAAGTATATATTTTCAGTAATTAATTTTGAGTGTATATAGTTTTTCTTACATAAGTAATAAAAAATGTTATGTTATTATCTTGATACTTACTTAGCTACAGCAGGAAAATAATGAATAAGAATAATAATTTATTGTTGGAATGTTGATACAGCACGTATTTCACACGTTATTAGGCCATTCGATGCAACACGATCCTTATTCAATGAATACAAAGTAATAAATATGGTTAATATTTTATTATATGCATTCAACTGCTTGGTAGATTTAGAAATATTAAGGATTTTATACTAGAAAATATATTCTATAGATTAATAGCAATATTATAAATTAAGCTCCCTTATGCTTCAGGTATTATATTAAATCACAGAACACAGAAAGCGTGTCAACGTTTTGGGAACAAGACAGGCGCAGTTTACGTCCAGAGTTTACTCTCTCTCCTTTGGGAAAGTGTTCAAGCAATAAACACAAAATAAATATTCTATTTTGTGCAGTAACCGACGCGTCTGTGTTTTTATTAGTTCCTTTTAAAGTCTATTGCGTTTCTATGATTTTTTGGTTACTCTGCAGTTGGTTTTCTTCGGCGGGGTCGCATCTTAATTCCGTGCGTTCACCAACGTTTGTGGAGTGCCAGAATGAATTAGAAAAGGCAAAGTGCCACAATCTTTCATTATAACATGTCATGCTTACATTCATAACACTTGGCGAAGGAAAGGAACCGATCGAATTGCGCAAATTTGTGATTCATTAGATACAGGAAACTGTCACCTCTTTAAATGAAAGAAGATATAGAGCACTATACTGCAAGAAAACCTGCAAGAAACTACTGTTTAATTATAATTTTAATATTACTAGATGTCTCCGAAAATAAATCTTCATACATTATAAAAGAAGTTCTTGCATAAATCAAGCTGCTATGAAGGTCGCTACTGAATAATGAAGCACTTGGACCACACCTACGTCGCTGCACTTGAGTGATTGCCAGTGCAGGCAGCAGGAAGGGGGCAACGCCATCTAGTGGTGGTGCGTGCAGGCGTGGAGGCAGTGCAGGCAGGCTGTGTCGTGTCGTGCGCGCGGCGCACTCACAATATGCGCGCGCGGCGGAGGGCGGCGCAGGCAGCACTAGCAGGCAGGCGGGGACCAACGTCAGTCACCGATGACGGCGCCGCGCGTACGGTGTTCCTGCGCGTCTACTGATGCTTTGTGTCCATTCGAGGAAGGCAGCGCGTAACACATCACCAGAATGTGACTAAACGAGTGTACGTCCCCGACCACTACCCTGCACACTGGACGCAACGAACTGTTATCACTTTCTAATACCTACGTATTTAATTTTCCGCGTGTGTCTTGTTACAAACTCACGCAACAAAACGTGTGTGTGTATAAATAAATAATAATTTTATAGTGCGCCGAGCCGTACTCGTCATGACTATATCGTACGCTGGTGAGGTTCCAAACGGCAGCAGTTTCGGTTGTTTCTGGAGGATCTTGTTGAAGTAAGTAGCAGTGGGGGAAGGCCAACAGCTGTTGTCGCCAGGCGAGCTGCCTGCCTCTCGGCTCAGTGGAACGATGCTCGCCGGCTCGCCGTTGACAGGTTTGACGTTAGTTAGGAAACGTGAGCGGCCCACAGCTGGGCCGACGATTTCTGGCGAAAGTTACCGAAACGCACGTACCGATCAGATCTGCCAAATGCACTCTAGAGTTGTCGGACCGAATTATATTAGACACATCTGACTTCTCGTTCTTCATACTAATAACAATCGCTATGTAATAGACCAATTATTCATAAGATAATTATTCATCAGGCTGGTTTCATTGTTCAGAGCTGCCCACCTGTATGATTCATGATCAATACCTTTCAGCAATGTAATAAGGCTATATTATTAGCTGTTGTATGAGCTAGTCAGTTGCGAGTCGCGGGCTCGGGGCCGCGCCACCCGCCCCGCGCCGTGCTGTATCATGTCGCATTATTGCTGCAGGTCACTTGTAATTAAGATACCGCTACGCGTAGAGGCGATGACGAGTTGTATTTATTTTACTTATTTCGCAAAGCTACAGTTGAACGGTAAATGCAATAAGTCACAATGAAAACGAATGTAACACATTGTGTCAGGCTCAGGCAAGTTGCTCGGCGCCGCGAGCGGAGCGCGTGCTAGCAAGCGAACGAGCGACCTATTGTCATTGTCACAAAATAATACTATATTATTCACGTTTGCTGGATCGATTTCGATCGGAATTGTACCTGACTACGTTTTCAATATTGTATTGTCATCTCTCTAGTGTACGCTTCATTTATTCTGCAGATTGGATTTCTCAAAAACGATTCCATCATTAATAGGTACTTACCTAGTTACAAAATAATTCTCAACCCAGGATTTATCATATTGAACTAAACACAGTGTAGGTTTTTTAAGGAAGATTTCTTGTAAAACAAGTTACATACATACTAATAATCGGTACAGTTGCTGCAGACGTAAACACATTTTGCGATTGTTAAACATTGTCCGTCATTAAGTACCTATCATAAAAATATTTACTTTACGTTTAATGAAACATGCATTGTGCATAGAGTTGCTGTTGGCATTACTGTTCTATCAAAAGACAACCACACCACAGCAAATCAATGTAATTCCAACACTGAGTAAAGAAATTTATTCATGAGGTTACAAGGTGCTGTTCAGTGTTTTATTTTACTAGGTACGTGCCCCGCCGTATAACTATATAGAAAGTTTGTTTCAAACTAAATTAATAAGTATATTTTTTCATATAATAAAACAGTTTAAGTATAACTCTTTTTATAACATAAGTAGTTAGGTACCCACATAAGAAAGTATGTTGAAACAAAATATATTATATTAAAATCATTACTACCCTTAAAAATGAAATTTTGCATTGCAAATATGAATTGTATATCCTATGGTGCAACCAGGTGAACTTAATGGGTGGACCACGGGAAATAGACGTTGGCCGTTTATGTGTGAGAGGCTTTTTAATCCCCGACGCAAAAGCGGGGGTGTTATTTGCTTTAGCTGTCTTCTCAACAAGTCTAAAGTGCGGAGAAGTCGAAATTTTTTTTCTTCAAAAGTGGGAAAGACCATTTACCAGATCAGCTAACCCAGGATACATACCTACTTATTTGCTGTAAGATAATTATTGTGTCCGATGGCCGATTTTATTTATCTATTCGAGTTTCCACCAGTCAGTTGGCCAGTTTTGACGTCATCGACCATATTGAAGGTAAGAAGTAGAAAAATGTGATAAAATTAATGCTGCGCGTGTGTAACCAAAACGTCCTAGTTAGATTTGTATTCACTATTGAAGATGTCTCTTCTAGGCTAATGGAGTTGCAACAAAAAAAAATAGGTTGACCGGTCCTACAAAACTGGTTGAGGCGGTCCGGAATCACGTGTTGGGTGCCCATAAAATATTCATTGACCTCCGAAATGATTTAAACAAACTTAATTTATTCTTATTAATAAAACACTTTAAAGTGCCTACTTGTATTGTGAGTAGTTTAGATTGTGTAGTTACTGTAGTCACTACATTCAATACTACAGTGTGTATCCTATTTTTTTGGAAATCAGCAGCTGCTTAAAATGTAGTTCTATTTTGTTTTACAAAACCACGCAAAACGATGTTAAAAGTTTTATAATTTTACACAAAATATAAAAAAAAGTTTAAACAATTTATTTTATTAATGAGTAACCTGAGGTGTCCTAATTTACAACGTTTACAACCTACTAATTTGATAGAAGATGTCAAACAACAACATAGCCAAAATCATTTTATCTAAAATAGATTCATACGAGCATTTGTACTTCAGTCATGGATGTTTAATATCTATTTCTATATAAATATACCCTAGTATCCCATATCACAAGCTCTACAGTGTTTACTTTGGGGCTAGGCTAATTGGTATGAGTGTAAAAAAATATCTTTAAATTAATAGAATGATTTGCATACCTACTTAAGTATATTTTTTTCCATTAACGGCAATCATTACAATCGATGACAACTTTCTCATTAAATGGCCTTAATAGATGTTGTTACCTAGTTGAAATATGTAAGTTTTAAGTGTCATAACTTATCTACTTATAAAGGAAAGTACATTTTAATTGCGTGCTGTTTTGTTCCACTAGAAAAAGAATTAACTAGCAGTTCCAGGGCCGTAGTCAAAGTTGTATTTAAGATGGGGCAGCAGTAATTTAAGTAGGGCACGAGCAGGATTTTAAAATTGGAGCGTGTTTAGGACTTAAAAAGGTAACTTTTTACCAAATTAAATTAAAAATGGTTATTTTTGTGTGAGAAATAATATAAAAACCGAAAAGTCGGTCAAACCCAATATTTTTCGCAGATTGTTTTAGGGTTTGGGAAAAAAGTGTAAATACAAAAGTTGTAATTTCACCTACTAGCTTACCTGGCGAACTTCGTACCGCTAACAATAATTTGGAGGAAATGATACCATACCGAAACGAACGTCAAATGTATTGAGGGCAACGCACAAAGCTTTAGTACGTCCATAGTTTTTTAAGTCTATGTTATGTTATCTCAAGGAACTCTGTTTTCCTTTTGGTTTCTCTTTGGTCTCCGCTTTGACACGGTGAGAATGTATTGTGGTTTTATAATAAAGTTAAATGAAAAATCAACGTTTTATTGAAATCCTGCATTAAGAAAAACTCTCTCAAATCGAAGATACTCATTAAAATGTTTGACAGGCAAGTAGGTAGAAATAGTTTATATGGAAAATATGTATATAATAACAAAATTGTTGTTTTTACTGTCTTCCTCGAAATTTTTCCATGTTTTCTCACCTTTTAAACCTTCCCTAAACCTCCACGAACATTTCAAGACCAAGATAAGATAAATCCGTCAGCCGTTCTCGAGTTTTAGCGAGACTAACGAACAGCAATTGATTTTTATATATATAGAAGATAATTAAGCCATTTTTTCGATAGAAGTTGTAGTTTTTCCAAAAAATCCTGATAAACTGTTTTCCCCATTTAAGGTCACCCTCCTTCATCATGCTCGACCTTAAATAGCATGTATTTTTTTTCTTTTTTTTAGAATTTTCATTTCCTTTTGGTATGGTATTCTTCAAGTTCCGAATTTTTATGCTATCAATAATTATTGACCCTCGTTTAACTAGGTAACTAAGTGTCCGTTATGCTAGCGTACCCACGATCAATATACGGTTTTTGTTTATGCCATTAAATACTGCGCAAATAGTGCCAAATTAGTGTAGAAATAAAAAAAAAATAGTGCCTCTTTAATTTAAGAAATAAAGACCATTTTTACTGTGTACGCTACCATGACGTCAAGCTAGCGTACCCATGGCCGACCCCAAGAACGGCATATATTTAAGCAACGAAATTGACACACAAAAATAGTTCGCAAATAGTGCCCTGGCTTTACAAAATTTCATAATCAATACTCTTAAAGGACCAAAGATATTGAACTAAACATTCTTAGCTGGCGTCAACCTGGCGTACCCATAATAGTTCTCATAGAAAATGAACTTTTCTCGTTATCAATTCTATATGTATAAATAGTGTGTCAAATAGTGCCTCTAACAGTAAAAGTATTTTAATGTTAATTCGCAGTAAAACAATATAAAAAAAGCAATTAAATTATTTTTATGTATGAAGTACAGTCATGTACAGAAGTGATAATATTTTCGTAGTATAGTAGGTAAGTAAGGTACTTAGTAGGTAGGTAGGTAGGTTGAAATTCTTTTATGAATTTATGATTGGTGTATTCGAATTGAAATATAATATCTTTTTATAAAAAGTACCTATTTATTTTAGTAAAAATACATATATAAATAATCTCTTAGTGCATAAATTAATTTTGTGTGTAACTGTACTACAATACATTTGTTCCTAGAATTTAACACCCTCTTTATGTATTGTTGTGATGCGGATTCACATAAAATACTTTTACTGTTAGAGGCACTATTTGACACACTATTTATACATATAGAATTGATAACGAGAAAAGTTCATTTTCTATGAGAACTATTATGGGTACGCCAGGTTGACGCCAGCTAAGAATGTTTAGTTCAATATCTTTGGTCCTTTAAGAGTATTGATTATGAAATTTTGTAAAGCCAGGGCACTATTTGCGAACTATTTTTGTATGTCAATTTCGTTGCTTAAATATATGCCGTTCTTGGGGTCGGCCATGGGTACGCTAGCTTGACGTCATGGTAGCGTACACAGTAAAAATGGTATTTATTTCTTAAATTAAAGAGGCACTATTTTTATTATTTTTTCACTAATTTGGCACTATTTACGCACTATTTAATGGCATAACGAAAAACCGTATATTGATCGTGGGTACGCTAGCATCACGGACACGGTAACTAATGATCAAAAGATTTACATTTTGCAAACTTAACCATGTTAAATGATTATGTTTTATTACAAGCTAAGGATGTTAAAGTCGTTGACTGATTTGATTATGTTTGTAGTTGATTGAAATTAAGAGTTTTTTTTAT